TTTGGGGGGGGGGACAATATTTTGTGCATTTGTTCTAAACTCTTCCTATTTAACAGGCTGCAAGAAATTGTTTGGTTTCTGAAGATAATGTGGTGAAGATATCAGATTTTGGAATGACAAGGTGAGTAGCAGCGCCTCATTTTGCACACATCACTACTTTTTAAGACCTCAGTGTCATGGAAAATCCCACCTGTGTCTACAGGTTTGTCCTAGATGATCAATACACCAGTTCTTTTGGGTCCAAATTTCCAGTGAGATGGTCCTCTCCAGAGGTGATCAAATTCCAGAAGTACAGCAGCAAATCAGACGTGTGGTCTTTTGGTGAGTCCATATTGATCAGCTGAGACGATGTTAATCAGAAAAATGATTCAACACTCACCTTTATCCACATATTTAATCTAAATATATATTGACGTCTCATTTGCAGGTGTGCTCATGTGGGAGGTGTACAGTGAGGGCCGTTTGCCTTATGATAACCGTGGTAATGCAGAGGTAGTGGAGGCCCTAAATGCAGGACTAAGGCTCCTGAGACCCCGTCTCTGTCCACAGAGTGTGTACGAGTTAATGCAGTGGAGCTGGAAAGAGGTGAGTCCACCATAAAATGCATCATAAACTTTAAAATCATCTCAACAAACTATCTTTAAACCATAAGTTGATTTGAATATTAATAAAATATGTCATCCCCTATAAAGGTGGTTTTACTGAGAAATCCTGTTCTCATGAATATAGGGCCTTCTGAGGAAGTTAGTCATGTTCCCATTTTGCTTTAATTACTTTTTTTTCTTTTCACATAAATGTGGATTATGTAGGGTATTTTTTTACACACAGTTAATGTGTTATTTTATTACTAAATCTTCCTACTGTGTGTTTTTTGTTACTCATGTAATTCAAAGCAAGTGATGTTTCTGTATCCTGATCGGTTTATTTAGTTATTTGCCTATGCTTCTTGTTAGTGTCATTATTGCCACGGCAACATAAACACAACAATGTTTGTTTAACAGAAACCTGAAGATCGACCCTCATTTGCTCTGCTCCTGCATGAACTGGCCTGCCTTGAACAAGAACCTTAATCCTGATCACACCCTTCCCTGTACTGGCTTATAGGGATAGTTTTTTTTTTTTTTTTAAAGGACATTTTGTCATCATTTAATAATTGTCATGTCATTTAAACCTGTATACTGTTTTGTTTTTGCGGAACACAAAAGGACAATTTTGAAGAATCTTTGCATAGCAGTTTTCCATATATGGAAGTTTGTATTAACCAAATAGGAAAAAGGGCACTTTAAATTGTATTAGGTTTTGACCTGTGAGCTATGTTTTGGATGTTCTTAAGCTACAGTGTATATATATATATATATATATATAATTAAAAACTGTAAATGCATCTTAAATTATAAATGATGTAAATTACATTGCATCTTGACAGATTATAATCTGTTGTATGAAAAATAATGACAGAATTTCATTTTAGGGTGAACTATGCCTTTAACTGAAAATACTGTATATTGTACAAAATCAAATATTGTATTTATTTGTATATTTTATTTATTTCACAGATTTCTTATTTTCGCATTTATTCCACATTATGTAACTGAATTGTATTTTTCCTGTTTATATACATGCATGACTTCTGCAAACACAAATCTGTCCCTAGGAGGCACACATGAGCCATTTTTTTCACCACCAGTAGAAATTTTGTTTATTACTGTAATACAATACTGATGCAGTGTATTCAACAAAGCATCACATTTACATCTGTGTACTGATTCTCTCATTGATACTCCTATTTCCTTTGTTTACATAAAGCTGTATGCACAATAAACTCACAATTTCCTAAATGAAGTAAACGTTAGTAATACTAATCTATTTGAGCACAATTGTGATTATATCAAAACTACTGTACTAACCTGTTTATTGTAACAAGCATGCAAGTATAAGCGCATGATGCGGACCTGCTGTTACTGCTGATTGGTGCATAGCAACACAAATGCCTTCACTGGTTACTGTGACAACGGCACTGACTAGAAAAACACAGCAGCATGCCAATGTTCACCATATATGCAGCCTCAGGCCATAGTCACTAAAAAGTGCATATTTCTTAAAAGTGTTTCCAGAGCAATTCAATTTTTAAAACTAATGCAGAGAAAAAAAGAAGCAGAAATGCAATCAAGCATGTCGTCACTAAAATTGACAGGGCCTGGGCCCAATAAGTCCACAATACAACAGAGGACCTAAGTGGGCCCCTCGTCACAGATCCTTGGTCCTGGGATCAGTTTGTGGTTGTTGTAGTTGTTTTTGTTTGTTTTAATGTACTTCTGAATTTTATGTTGATTTGAAATTATAATTAGCAAGACGTACGTTCAGATTAAAATTTTAATCTAATTGATTCAATTTGTATTTGGGAAAGTACTATTTGACAAATGAACAACATGCTGTTTTTTTTTATATTTTTAGAAAAATGATGCCCTCATAAAGAAAAACCCAATTCCAGGAAGCATTTATTGCCTCTTAATAAAAATGTTATCGGTAAATACACCTTAGTACATTTCTAGATTATTTGTCTTTTTATATTCCTATAAACTTAAACCATCATTGTTCATGGCATAATAAAAATCGACCATAGTGATAGAGTGCTAAGTGGGTCAGAAGTACAGTGCAAATGTATGACAATGCATACTCATAAAAACCATAGAATTTGCGCTTCTCTTACCTTCTTTGTTTATATTCATACTAAAATGAATCCACTACTTGAAGAATTTTTAAAATCGACTATGCAAACTGATGACTCACACCAGAGATGCTGATTTAAATGGGAGTCTGTCTCTTTAAGAGCATGCACTTGCAGCCATTTTCTGCTCTTTGTGTGGGGTGGATTAGCGGATAGAGACCGAACCCAGAGCATCAGTTCTACTCCACCGAGCAAACGCTGTTTCACACAGTTTCTCCCCGTTTTGCACTGACCGCCCGTTAGTTTAAGAGTGGACATGCAATTAGCAGGTAGGTAAATGTGAATATTTTCATGAATTACAGAGATGAGAGCGCTCGCTCGACGGTGAGCGCGAGATGATGGCACCAACCTGCGCGTGTAACGTTATTCCCCAACATGATGCCCAGTCATATTTTCATAACGAAAACGGCGTGGCTTGTACGTTGTTTCAAGTCAGCCGCCTTTATGTGCACAGTTGAGGGCGTTTTACACTAATTTGGTGAAGATGGTTCATTATGATGGAGGTGCTGATAGCATCTCTCCGCTTTATGGGTGGGGTGAGGGGGGTGCGCGCGCACGTATCTCACGCGTCTCATGTGTGATCGAACGCGTTTTATCTGTATTTGTTTACATTAGATCACAACTGGATTACTTAACGGTCAGTGCCGTTTCATGTCGCCATAAGTAACATTTTGGGAGATTTTTAAAAATTCTTTCCACGAGCTGTCGAGCTTGCTCGTGCTGCTGGTGTCCGGTGACTGGGTTATTGCCAACCGAACCGTTGTTTTGACGCCTTTGATGATTAAGAAATGCGTGTGTGACACATTGCATGACTGATTCCAGCCTTTTCCTTTAAATGCGTGGATGGGTTTTTGCTTGTGTTATGATTAAGGACCCATATTTTAAGTTTTTATGTCCAAGCTTTTAATGTAATTCAGAAATGATCATTTAAACGACATTGCGAGGTAAATACCAGCTTATTGTACGATATCCTGCTTCGAGTTCAGTGCTAGTTATGATATTAAAAATACACGAACATAAAAAATAATGATATGATTCAACATTTTGTTAAATTAGTTTCAACCTTCCTCTGAGGAAAATAGTCCATTACAGACTGCTATTGGCCAACAACAAGACGAGCACTGCAACAATATTATTATTTTATGTATTAATCTGCAATCCATGTTAATTTAAAGTAATCTCTTTCTATGTTTTTTTTTCTCTCATTCAGCTCTTTATATATTTTACCGGTTTAAATTCTGATTGATGTTTTCATTGTCTTGATGGATTTATAATCTAGCCCTCTATCAAAGTTTTAATTGCATAGATTAAAACTGAAGTCCTCCAGGGCCATTTTGATAGGAGTGACATGAAAGTAGCACCAGTATGTTGTCATGGTTAACTGTTCAATATCCAGTTTAGTGGTCATTTGTACACTACATATTTGTTCACTAATCAAGTACTCTTGAGAGAACTGTGTAAAGCAAGTTAATTGTTGTCCAAACCTTAAAGTTGTGATTAAACAGAAGTAGCAACATGTTTATGTATATATATCTTGATGTCTGAGTGAAACAGATTATCAAAAAAGGGGAAAAAAATGAAAGGTGGGGTATTGGTTCTGTCCATCGTTTGTTGATTGCATGGACGCAAATCTGAATGTGAGCTTGCAGTCGATTGTAAGAAAAGGCTGGAGTTATTACAGTTCCATTAAAATTTACGAGGTCAATAACATGGATCTAAAAAATACACTCTAAAAAATGCTGGGTTAAATACAACCCAGTGCTGGGTTAAATAGGGACAAACCCAGCAATTGGGTTGTTTTGACCCAGCGGTTGGGTTACTACCCAGAAGGTTGGGTCAAAACAGCCCAACTGATGGGTTTGTCCCTATTTTACCCAGCACTGGGTTGTATTTAACCCAGCACTTTTTAGAGTGTAGCATTTATTGCCTCTTAATAAAAATGTTATCGGTAAATACACCTTAGTACATTTCTAGATTATTTGTCTTTTTATATTCCTATAAACTTAAACCATCATTGTTCATGGCATAATAAAAATCGACCATAGTGATAGAGTGCTAAGTGGGTCAGAAGTACAGTGCAAATGTATGACAATGCATACTCATAAAAACCATAGAATTTGCGCTTCTCTTACCTTCTTTGTTTATATTCATACTAAAATGAATCCACTACTTGAAGAATTTTTAAAATCGACTATGCAAACTGATGACTCACACCAGAGATGCTGATTTAAATGGGAGTCTGTCTCTTTAAGAGCATGCACTTGCAGCCATTTTCTGCTCTTTGTGTGGGGTGGATTAGCGGATAGAGACCGAACCCAGAGCATCAGTTCTACTCCACCGAGCAAACGCTGTTTCACACAGTTTCTCCCCGTTTTGCACTGACCGCCCGTTAGTTTAAGAGTGGACATGCAATTAGCAGGTAGGTAAATGTGAATATTTTCATGAATTACAGAGATGAGAGCGCTCGCTCGACGGTGAGCGCGAGATGATGGCACCAACCTGCGCGTGTAACGTTATTCCCCAACATGATGCCCAGTCATATTTTCATAACGAAAACGGCGTGGCTTGTACGTTGTTTCAAGTCAGCCGCCTTTATGTGCACAGTTGAGGGCGTTTTACACTAATTTGGTGAAGATGGTTCATTATGATGGAGGTGCTGATAGCATCTCTCCGCTTTATGGGTGGGGTGAGGGGGGTGCGCGCGCACGTATCTCACGCGTCTCATGTGTGATCGAACGCGTTTTATCTGTATTTGTTTACATTAGATCACAACTGGATTACTTAACGGTCAGTGCCGTTTCATGTCGCCATAAGTAACATTTTGGGAGATTTTTAAAAATTCTTTCCACGAGCTGTCGAGCTTGCTCGTGCTGCTGGTGTCCGGTGACTGGGTTATTGCCAACCGAACCGTTGTTTTGACGCCTTTGATGATTAAGAAATGCGTGTGTGACACATTGCATGACTGATTCCAGCCTTTTCCTTTAAATGCGTGGATGGGTTTTTGCTTGTGTTATGATTAAGGACCCATATTTTAAGTTTTTATGTCCAAGCTTTTAATGTAATTCAGAAATGATCATTTAAACGACATTGCGAGGTAAATACCAGCTTATTGTACGATATCCTGCTTCGAGTTCAGTGCTAGTTATGATATTAAAAATACACGAACATAAAAAATAATGATATGATTCAACATTTTGTTAAATTAGTTTCAACCTTCCTCTGAGGAAAATAGTCCATTACAGACTGCTATTGGCCAACAACAAGACGAGCACTGCAACAATATTATTATTTTATGTATTAATCTGCAATCCATGTTAATTTAAAGTAATCTCTTTCTATGTTTTTTTTTCTCTCATTCAGCTCTTTATATATTTTACCGGTTTAAATTCTGATTGATGTTTTCATTGTCTTGATGGATTTATAATCTAGCCCTCTATCAAAGTTTTAATTGCATAGATTAAAACTGAAGTCCTCCAGGGCCATTTTGATAGGAGTGACATGAAAGTAGCACCAGTATGTTGTCATGGTTAACTGTTCAATATCCAGTTTAGTGGTCATTTGTACACTACATATTTGTTCACTAATCAAGTACTCTTGAGAGAACTGTGTAAAGCAAGTTAATTGTTGTCCAAACCTTAAAGTTGTGATTAAACAGAAGTAGCAACATGTTTATGTATATATATCTTGATGTCTGAGTGAAACAGATTATCAAAAAAGGGGAAAAAAATGAAAGGTGGGGTATTGGTTCTGTCCATCGTTTGTTGATTGCATGGACGCAAATCTGAATGTGAGCTTGCAGTCGATTGTAAGAAAAGGCTGGAGTTATTACAGTTCCATTAAAATTTACGAGGTCAATAACATGGATCTAAAAAATACACTCTAAAAAATGCTGGGTTAAATACAACCCAGTGCTGGGTAAAATAGGGACAAACCCAGCAATTGGGTTGTTTTGACCCAGCGGTTGGGTTACTACCCAGAAGGTTGGGTCAAAACAGCCCAATTGATGGGTTTGTCCCTATTTTACCCAGCACTGGGTTGTATTTAACCCAGCACTTTTTAGAGTGTAGGGTAAATTTTCATTTCATGTTGACTTTAACTGACTTCCTGCAGAATCCGTTGTCATTCTTTAAAGCATGTTGAGCCATGTTTTCTATATCACTTACACATTTCAAATTATGCACATGCTCCTTTGAAAGGGAACAAGGAACCACTAATTTCCTGAATACAGATGAAAAACCGTTTGTATAATTTTTACCTGTAAATGTAATCAGTGTTAAAACGCATGGTGAACAGCACTCATAATAATGAAACTGTTTCACCTGCTGATGGAAATGATGCATGCCTAACTACATCATCAACCACATTTTTTCTCATCTCAGAAATTACAACTGAATGATGCAATCATGAACAGTCCAGTCAGTGTATGTGGAGGGGTTGTTTCAGTGTGTCCCGTCTGTACATAAGGGAGAATCTTTCAGTCAGCCATCAATTACACATCCTGCCCGCCTGCCTGCCTGACTAGTAATTGTAGCTCAAGGCTTGCCGAGAGGACGCGAGTATGATGTCCTACCGAGTAGTGTGACCCAAATGTGAGGCTCTTTCAGTGGTGGAAGCCCTTATGACCTTTCTGATGTCTAGACTTTATTTATGTGGCTAGACCAGTGGTTGTCAGCTACAAAAGCTATTATTTAAAAAATTTTGTCACATACATGGTTATATAGAGAATATATGACCAGCAGTGAAATGTAAGTCCGGTCCGCTCCATGGACAGTGCAATTATTAAATGATACAAACACAAGAAAATTATATATAAATATAGGTATGGAAAAAGATAAAAAAATAAGAATAAAATAAAACCAGATATAAAATATACTCTAGACTTAATAAATATTAAGATGAGCAGGAATGTACAAGAGAAGAATGTGCAAACAGGTTGTACAGGGTAGTTACATAGCAGCAATAGAGGTAAAAAAAAGTAAATAAATAAAATATTACAGAAATTGCTGTGTGCAAGTGACAATGTCAGTATATTGAGTATCTTACTGATAGTTAAGTGAAGTCATGTTTTATATATATATATATATATATATATACATACAGTGGGTACCGAAAGTATTCAGACCCCCTTAAATTTTTCACTCTTTGTTATATTGCAGCCATTTGCTAAAATCATTTAAGTAAATTTTTTTTCCTCGTCATCAAACACGTATAATGATGTGACAAACATAGGCCTATGTAGTGGAGGCAGGTTATTTAACAATTTAACAAACTTTATTATTCAAAATGAGTCTGACACCAGCGCACTTAACAGTAAACATCACTTATTATGAATAACTTAACACAAATAGAACAAAATGTATGTAACTTGAATTAAGAAATTAAACAAGGTAACCGTGTAGGGCAAGCAAGCTACTGCCAAACCAACAAGGGCAGGTTTATGCAGGAAGCACAGCTTTCCCAAATGTAAACATCTAAAATGAATAAATAATAATAATGAATAATATTTTTTCACAAACTCTGTGTTGTGTATTTTCTTGTAATCAAATGAACATGCAGAACATTCGTATTGAAATCGTCTTTTTACAGTTTAATATTCACAGACACTGTCTTTCTCTCTCCCTCTCTCTCTCTCTCTCTCTCTCTATATATATATATATATATATATAAAATGTATGTATGTGTGTGTACTGACCTGTTTTTTATTTATTCATCAGAAATAAGACAAATTTCATGAAATTCCGCGTTATACAGTAAATTCTGTTTTTAATGACTGGATTCCGCGATTCCTTCCATGTTTTCTGCAATAGAATTCTATTGTATTTTGTCGTGCCGTCTGATGTGATGTGACGATGTAATAAGCATGAGTTCTGGGCCGCGGCACAGCCGGTATAAACACTAGCATTGACTGAGTGGCCGCGATCAGCTCCGGTGGCCGTAACACAGGTTTTAATGCGCCGCAGACGTGTGCCGTGATGCACAGATCAGCTCTAGTCTCTAACGTCTCTGAATCTGCTGTTAAAAATAAACCATCCATTCATCATATCATCATGCAAAACTAAAAATTAGAATCATTGTAATGTGACGATAAAATATAGGTGTGGGTGGGTGGCGGGCGGATGATTTGAAGCAGCGGACTTGGGTGAAGTTTGAGCTCATCCGCGCATCTCTACACTACACATATACATATATATGTATATATATTAGTATAGTATTTCAGTCTGGCGAGTAAACTAAAAAATATACTAGCCAATGGCAATTCAAGTGCCAAGGTGTCCGTAGAGGGTTGACATGCAAATAATTGGTATCGGTTATAAAATATCAATATCGGTCGATCACTAGCTCCGACACGCAGAACACTTTTCAATGAACCTTTTAAATCGTTTCGCAAATTGCACCAAACGATTCATTCACGAATTAGAATGAACCGATTGCAGCTGTTCTCGAGTCGACAACTCACTGATTCAAATGATCCATTTAGTGCGAGTCCCAGTGAACTGAATTCACAAGTAAGAACCGGGAGATCTTGTTTTCTCTCAGGTACTTTGCAGTGTAAGCTTCACAGTTAACATTACTACATCACTCTCATCAACGTAGTCCACATCAACAACAAAAATATATCTTGACTCCATTTAGTGGTCACAGTGAACATTACTACATCACTCTCATCAACGTAGTCCACATCAACAACAAAAATATATCTTGACTCCATTTAGTGGTTATTTTGGGAAAGTCTCAGGTATTTTGATCAGTAGGATTATAAAAAATATGTGCTAATACCAAGTTAAATTATGGTAAGTAGCCTATATAAAATTTCTAAATAAATCTATCTATCAGTACTTTTTTTACTTAAGTACATAAAAAATCGAGTACTTTTGAACATAAATGCTTTTTCCATTGTCTATCCCAGTGGTTACCTTAACCTTTTTGACCCCATGGCCCTCCACTGTTCACAACAATATTCAAAGGTCTCGTGATTTTTCTAGTTGTTTATGATTTACTGTATAGAGATTAAGGATAATGATTTAAAAAATATATTTTTTACTTTAATTTCTACCTGATACATAAAATATTTTAGAACTTGTCAAAACTATTCAAATATATATTCATAAAATTTATAAAAACACCTATGGAGATTTTAGTTTCATTTAATTTAAATGTGTGTGTGTGTGTATGTATGTGTGTGTGTGTGTATATATATATTCACTCAAGAAAAATTGAAGGAGTACTTTTACTGGAGTAATATTTTATCATACGTATCTGTACTTGACTTGTGTACTTCGTCCACCACTGCTAATGGAGACTCCATTTCAAAGGAGGATCGATTTGTTACAACAATCTTTCAGGACAGAACTTGAATAAGCTTTGCAGAAGCAGCTAAGCAGAACAGGAGCTTCACATGTTTTAGAGCTGTTGCTGTTG